CCCCCCCAAGCAGCAGTTTTTTTTGGATGAATGACTGGAATTTTTCGGAAGAGTGGGTTAAGTTTTAGGAAAATTGGGAAAGTCAGACTGTGGTGGGCAAGTGGGAAACCTGAAAAGAAATCGGGGACGGGTCGTATCTCCCTCTCGATAGGAGGTGCCCTTAACACCAAGCCATTACCGTCGGGGTGAGGCTCACAGACGAACGTCTTATTGTCAGAAATATTTTACCATGGGTCTTCCATGCACCTCACCAACGTGTGCGAAGAAACATTTGATGATGTACTCCAGAAGTGAGGAGTCGCCTTCTGTCTCTCCCCTCCCCTCTCCCCCCCCCTTGTACTGCTCTGGGTACTTATAATGATCCTAATTGTCGAATTTGTTCATTTTCAGGAGTTGTTCGCAACAAATTCGTCTGCCATAGAAGCGATGCCAGCATCAACTTTGTGTCAATATCTACACTATGACCTACAACGCCGAAAGCTAGCCAAAGTCGACGAAGGCAGCGCCGTCCATATGGTGAGTGTTAAGGAGGTTTGGAAGCTAGCTGGTCTTTCCGACGCGGTAGCGAAGTGATTTACCGTTTGGCAATTGTAGAGCAGAGCGTAGAACACGCTGAACGCGTTCCGTACTGCGTGACACACATGGTGTGTCCGAGCGGCTGGCGGACCGCGTGACACACATGGTGTGTCATGAATGGCTAGCGGACCGCTTGACACACATGTTGTATGTTGTCATATCTTTCCCTACGCACTGTTTCGTATGTTCTAAAGTCATCAGAACACGTTTTTGAACACTATGCTATGTTATCTAACTCCTGGACCTAGCTGATTGATCTGTCGATTTTCATCATTCATTTCCATTTTCTAGAGCTTTCAGCTGAAGTTTGCTTGTTTTTTGCCGCACTTCCTACTGCTAGAAGGAAAATGTGATGGTAATAGAGCGTTAACCACCTTTTGTAATGAAGCTTGTGTTCAGATAGTTTCTCGAGTCCGAGCTGCTTTCGCCTGATGCTTCCGTGCAGGACGACTGTGTGAGCGCAGTTCTGTTTCTCCTCGACAAACGTACCGCTTTCAACGTTCGGCGAACGCCTTGGTGCCAAACTGGTCCTGACTATTTTGTTTACGGTAAAGCCTCGGTCGTTTCTACCCCCTTGATTTTACGGAAAATCCAATGTTTATTCAGGATCCGTTTGAAATGATGGATTTGGACCAAGCTGGCGAAGGTGTCTGGATGCGTGGTTTACAAAATTCACCTTTTTATCCGAGAATAGCGTCATCAATGGTGACACAATTGGCTCGCGCGGCGCTCGACTCTGAAGGTGCTCAGCTGGACCTGCTGTTAACAGCCATACAGTCTCAGATGGACAAGGAGAACATGCACCAGGTAATGTTTGAACTCAGATCTTTTTTTTATTGTTTATTGTTCTTACACGGCAAAGC